AAAAAAAAAAAGACGGGCGGGAGGGCTTCTCCGGATGCGATTGCGAATTCGCATTTGAGGCTACAGATGGGGTTTCAGTGCGTGCATGCGTTCTTGACTCCGCTCGCGCCTCTTGTTTCCTCGCGGGCCCCTTCCAGAGACTCACGTCAAACCTAAGCGCCGCCCGCGTCCACATCCGCCTGCCGCGGCTGCAGCCCCAACACCACGCCGACCAAATCCAGTTTTCGCATTCTCCGACGACGATTGGCATTGCATCCATCGTAAATACGACAAGCGGTGTTCGTATCCAGCGCTTTTCGGGGATCCTCGGCCCAGGCCTGGAATCGCTGGTTGACAGGCTCAAGATGAAATTTATGGTAGATTGCAGGACGAATTTCTGGTGGCAAAAGGTGCAAGCCAGCGACGTGGATGCAGCACAGGATGAGGCCCGGTCACTATTGTACGTTGGCCAAAAGTAGGGCCCAAACACGCGAAGATGGAAACGCCCGCGGACTGCCACTGGTTGCGCGCAATCAGATTGCCAAAGCCCAAGTTCCCGGATACGATCCTCGCAGATGCACTCTTTGTCGAATCCACATCATCATTGCTAGATGTCTCGGGACGAAAAGGCAGGCGACGGCGCTCTGACACCCCCAGCGCCCATTTCGAGGGCTGAGGGAAAGTGAAACGATTGATTGAGTCGGCGCAGAGTCTTGGTGAGCTGCAGTAGCGTCTGAACTCGACTCGACCTGCCATCGAAGTGGATCAAATGCAACCAACAAAGGGCCGAGAGCGAAAGCACAGGCGATGCAGTGTGCTCGGATGCAAGTCTGCTTGCCACCAACGCTGAGGTGTTGGGCGAGGTGCATGTGTGGCGGCGAGCTGTACCTTCTGCTTGGTTACGAGTCAACCACGCAGGCCCGGCTGCGCGCGGAGGTGGGCGTGCGTGGGAGCGTCGAGCGCACTGCACACACTGCACCGCACCTCACCACACCGGCGCGCCACAAGGGTGCATACAGTACAGCTAGATCTGCATCGCGACAGTTCAGAGATTCGATTTCTGGATGTTTCTGGGTGCAGCTTCCGTACCGAATCCGTGCTGTCTTTGTCTCCTGTTTTGGCGCGCTTTTTCTCGGCCTGGCGACTGTGTGGCTTCTGCATGAGGCGCCTCGTGATGCTCCGACCCTGGACGCGGCAACTGCGCTTTGGCATCTGAGCGTGCTCTTTATTGTCGGCGAACACCTGCCATGGGATCCTGCGTCCTCTCCTCTTGCTTTCGTCTCGACTCGACTCGACTCGA